GCTCAATGCAGGAGCTGCCCCCTGGTGGTCAGTGGGCTCCCACGGGGGGAGCGCTGCTCAGCCAGAAGCCGGGCTGACAGCTGGTAAGCGCAGCAGCAGTGGCGGGAGCCTCTCCCGACTCCACGGCGGCACTAAAGATGTCTGACTGCCAGTTTAGGCCCACTCCCTGGCAGTTGGACGTCCCTTGAGGGCTCCTGGACTGCGAGAGGGCGCACGCCGGGCTGAGGGGACTCCCCTTCCCCCCGAGTGCACAAATTTCATGCACCAGGCCTCTAGTAAATAGATAGATAGATAGATAGATAGATAGATAGATAAATAAATAAATAAAAGTCTCCCCTAGAACCACTGGAGAGAGTGTGGCCCTGCCCACACCTTGATTTTAGACTTCTGGCTTCCAAAACTGTGGGAGAATACATTTCTGTTTTAAGTCACCAAGTTAGCGGTGGTTAAACCAATATACCTTCCAAGTCAGCAGCTCTAGGGACACCATAGCCCAGAGACAGGGTCAGAAACACAGCCACATGGTCACAAACACACCTAAGTCAGGAGAGCCAGGAGAGTACAGGTCACCCAGTCAGAGCTGACCCGGAGGTGGGCGTGCATGGGTGTGTGTACATGTGTTCACACACACATATGTACACCCAGCCATTCACGGAACCCAGCAGTGCCTTCCAGGAAGATGTTAAGGCAGTTGGCCCCACAGATACAACATGTGGTAGGAGTCATGGCAGCAGAAATGTTCACAAGTGCCAAGTCTTACGAAGACCCCAGGGCCCAGCCAGGTCCCCAGACTAAAGAAAAACAGCACAGTCCTAGCTGGTTTGGCTCAGTGGATAGAGCGTCTGCCTGCAGACAGAAAGAAGGGTTCTGGGTTTCGATTCTGGTCAAGGGCACATGCCCCAGTTGTGGGCTCCTCAGTCGCCAGTAGGGGGCGTGCAGGAGGCAGCCGATCAATGATCCTCTCTTATCATTGATGTTCCTCTCTCTTCCTCTCTGAAATCAGTAAAAAACAATATTAAAAAAAAGAAAAACAGCCCTAGCCGGTTTGGCTCAGTGGATAGAGCGTCTGCCTGCAGACAGAAAGAAGGGTTCTGGGTTTCGATTCTGGTCAAGGGCACATGCCCCAGTTGTGGGCTCCTCAGTCGCCAGTAGGGGGCGTGCAGGAGGCAGCCGATCAATGATCCTCTCTCATCATTGATGTTCCTCTCTCTTCCTCTCTGAAATCAGTAAAAAACAATATTAAAAAAAAGAAAAACAGCCCTAGCCGGTTTGGCTCAGTGGATGCAGCGTCGGCCTGCGGACTGAAGGGGCCCGGGTTCGATTCCGGTCAGGGGCATGTGCCTTGGTTGCGGGCACATCCCCAGTTTGGGGTGTGCAGGAGGCAGCTGATCGATGTTTCTCTCTCATCGAGGTTTCTGACTCTCTGTCCCTCTCCCTTCCTCTCTGTAAAAAGTCAATAAAATATATTAAAAAAAAAAAAAGAAAAAAAAAATATAAAAAAAAAAAAAAGAAAAAAAAAATATAAAAAAAAAAAAAAGAAAAGAAAAACAGCACTTACCATTACTCAGAAACACATGATCACTCATGAAGACCTATACAATGGGACCAAGGTCATCAGCTTCTCTCGAAGGACAGCCCTTTCTTCAAGGCCAAGGGTAGTGGGGGCTGTTAGAGCTCCAGTCCTTCCTCAGGGGTTCCAGCTTGTCCCTGCTGTCCCACTGCACACCCATCTTCCCTTCCTGAAGATCAGTCAATTCCTGTAGCAAATTTCTTATCCATATACCACTCTCCTAGCAACGCCGATTCTCTGATTGAACCTGGGGTCAGCTGAATCAAGGCTCCTAACGATATCCTCCTCGTCCTAATCCCTGGAATCTGTGATGTCACTTTACGTGGCAAAGGGACTTTACAGACTGGATGAGGTTAAGGACCTTGAGATGGAGATGATCCTGGGTCCAATGTAATCACAGGATCCTCCTAAGAGGAAGGCAGGAGATTAGAGTAGATGTACAAATGGAAGCAAAAGGTTGTAGACACAAGGAAGGGGCCAGGAGCCAAGGAATGCAGGCCAACCTCTAGGAGCTGGAGAATGGAAGGGAACGGATTCTCCCCTAGAGCTGCCCGAAGGAACCAGCTCTGCGGACACCTTGGCCCAGTGAAACTGATTTTACACTTCTTTTTTTTAAAAATATGTCTTTATTGATTTTTAGAGAAAGAGGGAGATAGATAGAAACATCAATAGGAGAGAAACATCATCCATCGGCTGCCTCCTGCACGCCCCCTACTGGGGATCGAGCCCGCAACCTGGGCATGTGCCCTGACCAGGAATTGAACCAGCGACCTCTTGGTTCCTGGGTCGACACGGAACCACTGAGCCACCCCTGCTGGGCGGATTTTACACTTCTGACCTCCAGGAGTATAAGACAATACACTTGTGTTGTTTCAAGCTACTTAATTTGTGGTGCTTTGTTAGCGTGGTAACAGGAAAGGAATGCTTGATTCATAAGAGATGTGTCCACAGAGTCAAGGCACAGACATTGTATTCAGGGGGCCGAGAGCCACTGAGTAAAATGTGACACACCAAGAGAGGCAGGCACACAGAAACAACCATACGACGACCGCAGGTCTCACAAATGCCACAGAGACAACCGCAGTGTCACACACCAGTCATCTGTGGCACTCCTCGGAAACACACACACCCAGGGTCACTGTGGAGTGTAACAGGGTCTCCTGGAAAAACGTCACACGTTCGGTCATCCCCGAAAAACAATGGCTCAGTGACACGATGACAGAACATCCGAACACGCCGGAAATCCTCGAGTCACTCACACATGCCATCGCCCTTCTGAGACTCACAGGTCACTCGTGGAGGCAGCGGGGTACGGCTTTCAGGTGGGTGCCCACACAAGCACACTTCTCCAGACCTCCTCATGAAAGCGGTCCAGCCAAGCCAGGGATATGTTACAAAAATAGTTTATTACAAAAGAAATCCAACCAAAAATGCCTAATAATTTACATCGTTATAAGTGCCCGGCTGCAGTCCGTCTCTCCCTCCTCATGGGCGGAGGGCAGAGGCAGCAGCTGTTCCCTGGTTCCACCAGCTCTGAGGGAGGAGAAGGAAATACATGATTGAGTGGGATTCCAGACAGGAGATGGGTGCTTGAGGAGAACAGGGGAAAGAGTCCTGGGCGGAAGATGGAAGACGAGGTGGGGGGATATCTGTGCTCAAAAGAGGGGGCAAATGCATGTGCAAATCCTGGTTCGAAGATTGGGGGGGGGGGCAGAGTGAGATCTTCACAGTTTCCAGGAGGGCTGACTCCACAAGGGAAGGGAGGTCCCTCCTCATGAGTCCAAGATCTGCCCCCCCATCCCTCTCAGCTGCCTCCTGGAGCTGGCGGGGGAGGCACCGGCCGGCCAGGGGCTTGGAGGACCCCGACAAAGGGCAGGAAGGCAGGTGGAGATGAGGGAGAGAGGAAGAAATTGTGGGGAGCCATGGGAAATCCAAGGGGATCCTTGGGAGGAGACTGGGAAGGCGAGGAGGATGGTGATGCAGAGAGAAGACCTGTGGGAAGAAGAGAGAAGGCGGGTGAGGGCAGTGAGACTAGATCCAGAGAGAAGGGGGTCGGGGTCCCAACTCCTGGGTTCGGAGGGGGCGCAGGGCCGGGAAGGTCGGGAGGAAGGAGGGAGCTGGGGCTGGAGCTGGTTTCTCACCATTGGAGCTGAGGCGGCTGCTGCTCTCGGGGGAGGTGGTGGCACTCCGGTCAGGGGAGGGCTCTGGCTGTGACGCAGGCGCAGGCCGCGTGGCCTTCCCCCTCAGGATGTCGATGACCTGCAGGAAGATGGGGGTCACCACCAGGCCCCCCCCTCCCTCTACCTCCGCTTGCTCAAGGGTCTGTCAGCGAGCACAGCAGCAGGTGAAGGTGGGCACGTTGCCTCCTTTCTTGGTGCCTCAGGCTCTCCTCCTGTCTAGACCTCACACCCACCCTCTGCGCTCCACGCCTGGGCACAGACGCACACGCACACCCCTGGGTCTGTTCTAGGGGAACAGACTCCCCCAGCCCCGCGCCCCACCGCCGCGCACACTCACCCGGCGGCTGCGCGCCACCATGAGCGGTGTGTCGTTGT